GACCTCAAAAGTTTAAGGATCACAGGAATAGACTCTATAAAGCAGCAAGCAGTGATCAGGAGCCTGCTTTCCTTTCTGAAAGGTCAAAGTTGGCACTAAATGCTTTAGCTCACCAGGAATTGAAGGAGGGCTGCACCAGACTGTTGAGGCAAAGCAGACGTGAGCGCTCCCCACATGTCTGTCCTCAGCACAGTAATGAGGTCTGGCATCTCTGGAGGTGACCGGGGATTCCCAGTATCCACCTGTCTCTCCCTATGTATACAAGCTGGGAGAAGTAAGAATCCATTGCATTCACAAGCATGCACATGGGAATTCAGCTTCTGAACTGTCTGCTGACAGCCAGCACACCTTCCCCCTCCACAGTGGGGTCAGTGACCCCATCAGGACTCCCACATCCCTGCCCCCGAGGTCTTTCTGTCACTGTGTACTTGGTTGTCTCCTCCAGTAAAAAAAAAAAAAAAAAAAGTCGTCTTTGTACATCTCTAGTAAATAAATCTGAAACCTAGACAGATAAAATGGATAATTTCCCAGAAAGATACAGTTTACAAAAATTGACTCCGGTAGAAATAGAAAGTGTAAACAGACCAATTCCCACAGACACAGTAGAGAAAGCCATCAAGAAGCAACTCCACAAAGAAGCACCAAGTCCAGGCGGCTTCACAGAGGATTTCTATCACAGCTTTAGAGGCCGGGGAGTCCCAGGGAGACAGAATGATTCCTGAGCATAGAAAAGGAAAGAAACTTGAACCTGATAGCACACAAAATAGGACATTATGAATATCACTCATGAATACTGAAAAATGCTTAAATATTATCAAACAGATGCCACCACAAACTTAAGAAAATAATACACCAAGTGGAGTCCATACCAGGGATGTTTTCACATAGAGAAATCCAATGTATGCCAACATATTAATAGATCTAAGAAGAATAAGATCATATTTTTCCATAGAGGCTAAAAAATCTTGAAATCCCTCAACTCCCATTTGTAATAAAAACTCTCGGGGTAAAAAGAGAGAACTAACTAATACTTCCTTTACGTCATCCATACACCACAATTCTAAAGCCAACACTGGAGGTCCTCTTCCAAGGCCAGGGTGCCCACTGTCTTCACTATCATGTAACACTCTACTGGAGGTATCAGTTAAAGCAATTACACAAGAGAAAACAAGAGAGGCACAATTAGAGGCAGTAGCTCAGAGAGCAGGATCCGGGTCTTATTCCCCACTGTGACCCTAGGGTCTAACACAGTAGATGCTCAATAGCTGAATGAGTAAACAAACGATGTCTCCTATTAATTGAGCAAGGGTTTACTACTCCATTAACAAAAGCAAGGGTTTACTAAAACACTAGTAACAGATCACATGCTGTGTTGACTTCAATGGGCTAACCTATTGGAGGCAGACAGCAGTCCTAACGAGGCAAGTGGTATTATTTCAGCCATTTTACAGATAAGCAGACAGCGGTCCAGAGAGGCGAGATGACTCACTCCAGATCACCCTGTTGGTAAATGTTTTCAATTCCAGCCCTGCCACAGTCCGAGACACCTTGCTAACTGGTTCACATGTGTCTCTTACCAAATGAGAGAATGAGGGACCTCACACAGTAGTTCAGAACACATGATCTGGAGCAAGACTGCCCATTCTGGGAAAATTATTCTCCCTCTCTGTGCCTTAGCGTCCTCCTCCATAAAACAGGGGTCATAATAATGCCTGACTTCTAGAATTGGAGTGGAATCGCACGGGCTAATGAACGTCCGCTACACGCTAAACTCCATAAAATGAGCATCCAACTTCCCCAAAATTTCCTAATTTACCTTCACCAATTCTAACTACAATGTCTGTCCCATTAGTAGTACTTTTCTTTCCTTGGTTTTTGCCAAGCTCATGCCCAGAGTTAAGGGTAGAACTTTACATGCATCACCAATATGTTGCCATCTGGGACAAAATAACAAGATAAAGGGTAGTGTTGGCCCCTGGGGACTTCCACCATACAGAAAGCAAGGAGATGTGACTGCTACTAACATCTGGGTGACCCAGAGCCAGATGCCCACCTGGGGCAGTTCACACTAGCCTTTCAAAGCTCACCAGGCCCCTTCTCTGTTTTTGTTTGGTTTGCTGGTTTGAGACAGGGTTTTGCTCTGCCCTGTGGGCTGGAGTGCAGTGGCATGATCACGGCTCAGTACAGCCTCCAACTCCTGGGGTTAAGCAATTCTCCCACCTAAGCCTGCCAAGTACCTGGGAAGCTGGGTCTATAGGCACGCGCAACTAGGCTAGGCTAATTATTTTATTTTTTATTTTTATTAGAGATGAGGTCTTGCTATGTTGCCCAGGCTGCTCTTGAAGCCTTGGACTCAAGCGATCTTCCCACCTCAACCTCCCAGTGTTGGGATTGCAGGCATGAGCCACCGCTCCCGGCTGTGACATCCTTCTCCCGGCCATGACATCCCCTCTCTTCCTGGGTGCTGACTCTTCTGTGCTGCCTACTTCTCAGCAGAGTCAGTGCTTTCCAGATTCCAGAGTATTTACTCTCTACTCCTTAAGTGTGGGCTTCATATAGTAAGGCCTTCCAAAGAGCTTGGAGAAACTGACAAAAGCTACCTCTGCCGGGTGATCAAGGTTGATATCAATGATAAATGACATGGATAGTACTTTTTTTTTTTTGAGACATGGTCTCACTATTGTCACCCAGGCTGGAGTGCAATGGCGCCATCTCTGCTCACTTAAACCTCTGCTTCCCAGGTTCAAGCAATTCTGCGTCAGCCTCCTGAGTAGCTGGGATTACAGGCACCTGCCACCAGGCCTGGCTAATCAGTGTATTTTTAGCAGAGTCGGAGTTTTACCATGTTAGCCAGGCTGGTCTTGAGCTCCTGACCTCAGGTGATCTGCCCTCCTCAGCCTCCAAAGTGCTGGGATGACAGGCCACCGAGCCTGGCTGAACAGTACATACTCTCAGTATGATGTGATGAGAAGGGCACTTCATCTTTGCAGCTTCCTCCTGAAAACCTAAAGCCCTAGTCTAATGGGGGACAGTCTACAATACAACCAACACTCCTCAAAACAGTGAGGGTCATAAAAAACATTCTCAATCTGAATAAGGCGTAAACCTCAGTTAATAACATGTCAATATTGGTTCGCTGGTTACAATAAATGCACCTACTAATGAAAAATGTTAGTAACATGGGGAACTGGGATATTGGGTATATGGGAACTCTGTGCTATCTTTGCAACTTTTCTGTAAATCTGAAACTGTTCCAAAAAATACAGTTTGTGTGTGTGTGGTTTTTTGTTTTTTTTTTTTTTTTTTTTTTTCTTTTTTGAAAAAACAGATTCCAGGGCTTTCACTGTGGTCATTTAGATACCCATCTGGTGGCCACCAAGCATCGCTTGCCAAGAAAAACTATAAAAAGTACCTCCCTTCAGAATTGGCTTGGAAACTACTTCCCCGGAAATCCCCCCAACCCCACCCGACAAGAAAAATAAAAGCTGATTACAAATCTGGGAGCGGTGTGAGTATTAGTTCCCTGAAAAACACTTTAATCTTAATGAACAGAAAGACCATGGATGTTAATGAGGATCGTTTGCAGATTCTTAATTTATCTTTTCAAAGCAAAAGATGTCCACCAGATTGCAACTCTAGGAGGCTGGTCTCTCCTGCTGGCTAATTATTTCCATCTCCAGCCAAAACACAAAATTATGACTAATGACAATCTCTGGGTATCCAAGTGAATAGGATACCCAACGCTAAAGCAAACCCCTCATCTCAGGTGGCCGAGAGAGGACACTGATGGAAGTTAAAACTTCATTGCTCTGCCTAACACAGCGCCTGTGGGAAACATCAGGCCACCAAGTCTCCTTGACAGCTTCCTCCACGAGCCAGTGAGCACAAGCCCTTCCTACACACCAGATGTAGGCAAGCCCAGAGTGTGCCTGGAAGCTACCAACAGGCCTGCCCCGAGCCTTCAACAAGCACTGGCTGGGCTGGGCTGAGCTGGGCTGGGCTGTCAAAATCAGGAAGCCTGGTTGGGTTTTTTTGTTTTTTCCAAGACAACCTGCTAACCAGAAATATACAGTGAGGTTGGGCATGTGGTCGCCTCCTCCCCCTCCTCCTCCTCTGTCTAACGCAAGCTCCTGTTAAACACGTGAAGTGACAGATGAGCACTGGGCCCAGCCTGGGGAAGTCCCCAGCCCCCAGTGACTGAGGGCAGTTGGAGGCACAGAGTGATAAAGTTCAAGCAGAAAGAGGCTGTGTCCTGAATCCACGCCTCAGCTGCCCCCCATCCATTAGGACTAAGCGTAGATCACTTAATGAAGCTCAGAGCAATCCTCTGCTGGGTGATATGTGATGGATTCACAGCGGCAGCAGAACCCAGGGAGGAAATGGGCCAGCCTTATCACACCAAAGGCTTCAACGCCCTCCAGTATCAGACACAACCTCTTCCTCGGTTTCAACACAAAGTCCCCAACAAGCACTGCTCACAGGAGACGATGGGACAGCATGGCCTCACGTCAGTGCCTGGAGGGAAGGAGCAGCCTCCTAGCCTTGATAACTGCGTTCAGTGGCAACCCATTTTTTTTTTTTTTGCAATGCCCCCTCCCTGCTAATTCCATTCTTTGCTTTTTCACCTCCTCCCTCCAAAGGCACATAAATCACGTCTGTTGCCCTCTGACAGCCCAGTCCCAGGCAAGAGGCCAGCAGACGGCACCCGCCCCCCAGCCTTGGGACCTGCCTTCCACCTCTTGTTTTGCTGAGAGTGACCCTCAGGGAGCAGTCACGAGCAACCAGAAACTGGTGCCCCTAAGGGGCAAGAGGGAGCCGACCGCCCCCTACGGGTGGCAGTGGCCACTGACACCTCCCCTCCCTGGCACCTGGGTATGGGCACCCTCCCTCCAGGCCCCTTAGGAAGGGGAGCAGCTGAAGCCAAAAAGACCCCTGTGCCCTGTCCCCAGGCCTGAGCCCCTGGCGGGCTCAGGGGCGGGGCCAGGGGGACCTCCACCGACCTTCGTTCGGATTCATATACTCATAGTCGAAGAGGATGGAGAAGTCAAGCTCGTCCTGGGGGCTGCCCCCGGGCTCATGGCCTGGGGCGTCCCCACCGTCGGGTTCGAGCTGCTGCCCGGGGGCGTTCATGGCGCGCAGGGCGGGAGGGCTGCGGGGCTGGGGGCAAGGGCGGGTGCGGCTGGCTCCGGGACCCCTCGCCGGTGAGTGGCGAAGGCGGCAGGACGCCGGGCGGCGAGGCGGCTGGAGCAGCGGGGTCCCCTTCCTCGTGGGGACGCACGCCGGGTCCGGGGACGGCGCTCCTGGCGCAGCGGGTCCTGGACGCGCCCGGGGAAGCTGAGCGGCGGCAGCGGCGACGGCGGCGCGAGCTTCCTGCTCGGAGGCACCTGTTGCAGCCCGGGGAAGGGGGGGCGTGGAGGCGGGGACAGGGCGGCCAGGCCGGCGGGGGCGGGGCCGCCACCCGCGGACCGGAGGGGAGGGGCGCGCGGCTTGGGCTGGCCGGTGCCGGGAGGAAGGAGGCCGCCCGCGGGCCTGACCGCACCGTCCCGGGCCACCGCCGGGCGCTCGAGCGGCCGCTGACTCCCGCCCTCCACGGGTGAGCGCGACACACCCTGCCCGAACCACGGTCTAGACAAGAAAGCTGCCGCCTCTAGGACTTTTGCCCTAAGAGACCCACCGGCCCCACACTTCTTCCTGCTTTTCTTCTCCAAGGGGTGGGAGGGGGTGTCCCTCCGCGTGCCCACGGGGGCGACCATGGTTTTCACAGTGCTTCAGACACCTGCGTGGCCCTGAACTCAAGTCCCCAGCGCCTGGGAAGAAATCAGCCTGAGAGCACTAGTCCCACCCTTACAGCTATGCCTCCTGGCCACCTACCACGTGCCAGGTGCTGGCACCCAGCAGGAACCAGCCAGTGTTGCCCTCAGACGCTCAGGCTCTGGTCGTGGGAGAAGCCTGAAGGAGAGAAACAGGACAAAAAGCATCTCCTTATCGGCCCAGGAGGAACTCACCAGGGTATGGGCTAAAGGTTGGGGAGGCATCAGTCCCTTAGGTGGTCAAGGAGGACCTCTCTGGGGAGGTGACATTTGAAGAAACCTGATTGATGAAGCGACCTTGGGGAAGTGTTCTGGCAGTGAGAACCAAAAGGCAGAGCCAGAGCTCGCAGGGGCTGGGTGTGCTGGAGGCAGAAGGACGAGTGCAGTTGTGACAGAGCGGTTGGCAGGTGACAGACACGCCTGGCTGCTTGTTTAAAGCAGGATTCCCAGGCCCCTCCCTGGAGCTTCTGATTCCAGAAGTCTAAATACAGACTCATGAATGTGTTTTGGTTTTTGTTTATTTTTGTTTTTGTTTTTGAGACGGAGTCTCACTCTTTAGCCCAGGCTGGAGTGCAGTGGCATGATCTTGGCTCACTGCAACCTCTGCCTCCCTGGTTCCGGCTCAACCAATTCTCCTGCCTCAGCCTCCAGAGTAGCTGGAATTACAGGCACGCACCACCACGCCCAGCTAATTTTTGTATTTTTAGTAAAGACAGGCTTTCACCATGTTGGCCAGGCTGGTCTTGAACTCCTGGGTTGTGATCCACCCGCCTCGGCCTCCCAAAGTGCTGGGATTACAGGCATGAGCCGCCACGCCCGGCCGTGAATATGTATTTTTAATTAAGCACCCAACGTGAGCATTAATGAACAGGTACATTCAGCAAACACTGCATAAGGACCTGGTAACTAAGGAACACCCCCCAATAACTCTGCCAGGGGGCTCTGCCAACTTACCTGAAGTTGGAAACAGACACAAAGAAGTAGAAAAGACCAAAACAGTGGTCTTCAACCCTTCCTACATATTAGAATCACCTGGGACACCTTTTTACACATCCGTGCCAGGCTGCAATCCAAACTCACTGAAGCAGAATGTTTGAAAATATTTTTTTAAACTTCAGATGAATCTAAGGTGCAGCCAGTGTGGAGGATGAGATTAGGTGGGAGAGGTCTTAAGATCCTCGTGAGAACCACAGCTTGACCTCAAGTGATTAGAATCCTTCCCCATGGGCAAGGAAGAATTGAGGACATGCACTCTTCAGGGGAGCCATCTCAGCTCCATTAAGGGGATTTGTGCCAAGCCATCCATCATTCCACAAATATTTATGGAGCACCTGCCTGGCACTGCCACAAGATGTTGGAGATGCAACCCTCCACAGCCACAGCCTGTCCCATCATCATACCTATGTCCTGAAAGCAAAGCAGCCCAGCTACGAACAGCGTTTTCCAAATTGCACTCAGACCAGTGGTTCTTAACCCAGACTACACATTAGAATCACCTGGAGAGCTGTTAAAATTTTTATTCAAATACCTGAGCACCACCAGACATCAATTTGATCAGAATGTTTGGGGTTGGGACTCAGGCATCGGTATTTTGTAAAAGCTCGCCAGATGCTTCTAATGTGTGCCAGAGATGAGAATCTCTGAGCAGTACCTCCTGGTTGTCAGAGCAGAAAGAAATCCCAGCCTTTGTTTCCTAACTTTAAGCACTGCTAAGCCATGTGTATCCAACAAGCATCTTGGGGGTGCCTGATGCATTTAGGTGGAGGAGGGTAATGACCCCAGCTAGGATACTTTGAGACAAGTATCTAGAATGAGGTGGATGCTTCTGGGTCCTTATGACAGGGACCCAAGGTCCAGCTGATGAAATTTTGACCAATAAGCAAGAAAACCAGGCTTTCCCTAGGCTTTAGAAAAGGAGAAAAGCTGGGGATGCCTCCCCACATCCTTCCTCATCCCTCCATCCCGTAATTATTAAGTGCCACTAAATCTAGTGGACATTTGTTGATTGTGCCTACCCAGAATAATTTCTCCCTTCTTCTCATAACTGCACCTGTGTGTTCCTTGGGGAAACTACTCTAAACATAGTCTTGGTAGAGCTATCAACCTAGCTGCCCCACCCTCCCCTAGCAAAGAAGTGGACCCAGACTGGGTCAATCAGAGATTTTTATCTGCACTAGCCTGTGAGATCCACTAAGGCAGAAGCTATGACCACCTCATTTCCAGCTTTATGTACAATGGATGTATGGATAAATGGAGGATGGATGCATGATGCATGGATGGATGGATGGGTGGATGGATGGATGGGTGGAGATGGATGGATGGATGGGTGGATGGATGGATGGGTGGAGATGGATGCATGATGCATGGATGGATGGATGGGTGGATGGATGGATGGGTGGAGATGGATGGATGGATGGGTAGATGGATGGATGGATAGGGGACGGAGGGATGATGGATGGGTGGATGGATGGTAGATGGATAGATGGAGGATAAATGGATGAATGGATAGATGGATGGAAGATAGATGGAGGGATGAATAGATGGGTAGATGGATGGATAGGGGATGGATGGATGGATGGGTGGGTGGATGGAGGGTAGATGGACAGATGATGGATGGTGGATGGTGGATGAATGAAGGATAGATGGATGGCTTCATGGAGGATAGATGAATGAATGGATGGATGAAAGAGTGAATGTGTTGCATGGATGAATGGATCCATTAATCAATGGAAGAATAGATGTTTGCCTGGATGGATGCAGAGGTTTACTTTCTTTAAAATCCTTAAGAGTTTCTTTAAGGGTTCTCCTCCCTGAGGCTTACCCTAGCTACCCAATTGCTAGAGCAAGAACCTAAATTCTTACCCCAACACCACTTCCTCTTCAAATACCCAATAATAAAATGAGATATCAAAGGGAAGATTACTTTCCAACTGATCAAGTGCTACAAAAATTTCAGCCTGAGGCAGGACAGTTCAGGACAATCTAAACTCTAACTGCCTTGCTTGTCCCTCTGAACAGTGGATATATTTTCGAAGCTTCCAGGATTTGGAGACTGCACTACTATAATCAGAGTTCTTTAAAAGGAAGTGGTTCTGACTAGGTGTCAACCCATAAAGGAGTTTCTGCTGGAGAGTGAGGGGTAAATAGGTCTTCTTCTCCACAGGCCACCTTGAAGGGTGGGAGTTCAGGCTGGGGAAAAGGCATATTTTCAATTCAAAAATAAATAATTTGTGCTGTTAGGAACAAGGCCTAGATCTTAGGCGGTTCTTACAGCCATCCAGGCAAGAGATAAAGGGGGCGTGGACTACAGAGACGTGGTAACCATAGAGATAAGAGAACGTGGAAGGATTCACGAGACTCAGACTCTCATCCTTTGATCCATCTGTGAGTTACTTCTCTTCCTCTTCTAGGCTTCCTTAAAATGGAGCATAATTTGGGTCCACCTGGATAGAAATATTCAAGAAGCATTGACTCCTGAAGCTCTTTCAAGAAGCTCCTCCTGCCACTCAAAGTGGCTCTGAGTCCCCAGGTTCCTCAAGATGGCCCTGGAGTTACCCACCACCCACAGCTCTGCCTTCCTTTCCACCTTCTGGTAGAAAGCTCATTTTTATCTACAACCTCGGTCTCTCCACAGAAATCCAGGCTCATATATCCAACTGGCAATCCAACATTTCCATTGGGGCATCTAACAGGCATCTCAATGTGAATGAGTCCAACACCAAACCCTGTGTCTCCAGCTGCTCCCGCCTCACTGTGCCTCAACTCAAGTATGGTTCTGCCTTTAATCCAGTTCTCCAATCAAACACCAAGGAGTGGTTCTTTAGTCTTCACCTTTTCTCATGCCCACATGCAAACCCTCAGCAAATGCAGACAGTTGCACCAAATGTAACCCAAAGCCTCCCATTTCTCACTAACTTCACTGTTCTTCCTCCACCTCCCAAGAATCCAGCCCTCATTTCTTACTTGGACAACTGCAGAAGCCTCCTCTCTGGACTTGCTACTTCCATGTTTGTCCCTATGTGGAGCAGCTAGAGGGAGCCTTTAAAAAATATACATCTGATAAACCCTCCAGTGGTTTCCCGTTAAATTAAAATTAAATACAAAGCCCTTGGTCTGCAAGGCCCTACATAAGCTGCATCCCACCTGCCCCTCCTTGGGTATCAGCTCTTGCCATTCTCCCCTTCTCTTACTCCCTCTGTCACCCTGATCATCCACTTGTTCCTTGAAAATGCCCATAAGGCCAGGTGCGGTGGTTCACACCTGTAATCCTAGCACTTTGGGAGGCCAAGGCAGGCGGATCACCTGAGGTCAGGAGTTCGAGCCTGACCAACATGGAGAAACGCCGTCTCTACTAAAAATACAAAACAAAACAACAACAACAACAACAACAACAAAACCAATAGCAGGGCATGGAGGAGTATGTCTATAATCCCAGCTACTAAGGAGGCTGAGACAGGAGAATCGCCTGAACCCGGGAGGTGGAGGTTACAGTGAGCCGGGATTGTGCCGTTGCACTCCAGCCTGGGAGACAAGAGTGAAACTCTGTCTCAAAAAAAAAAAAAGAAAAGAAA